CCAGCTAATTCTTTTGTATTTTCAGTAGAGACGGGGTTTCACCATGTTGACCAGGATGGTCTCGATCTCTTGACCTCGTGATTCACCCGCCTCGGCCTCCCAAAGTGCTGGGATTACAGGCTTGAGCCACCGCGCCCGGCCGGTTCACTTGTCTTATTACCTCCACTCTGATTTCTGTCAGATTTTATTATATCTTGAACATGTTGACACACATCAGTGTGCAGATTAATACTGGTGTCTTTACTTGATTTGCGTTGAAAGTAGTGAAGAAAATACAAATGGGCAAAGGAAACAGTGGATTAATCCTAACAAAACCCCACAGTTTCATACAGGGAGCCCAAAAGAGGAGAGCATGTTGCCTTTACAGTAACTTTTCACATTTTACTAATAGTTGCTCACAGTTACACTTCACTTGATTGCATTATGTGCAAAGAAAAATTGCTTTTAAAGTCATTTAAAGCTACTACACAACAGAAAGTTTTGATATTACTGAGTTGAGTCTGGAAGTCATGTGGTAGGTAAAACTATATAGTGTTTATGTTCCAAACATGAGACACCCCATGGTACCTGATCCAGGCTGGCTAGAAATGTATCATATTTCCACCTGAATAAGTGAGTAGGGTATAATGTTTTGTTACTATACAAGTTACTATTAATCATTTTTAAAATAACTATCTCACTCAAAGATAGGCGAGTGATGTATAACAAGGTAACCATAGTAAATAAAATTAAGAAGAGGCTCTCAGACATCTTACTCTGTAAGTCATGATCTCTTAAGTAGTTTCTTTTTCTTTTCTAGTCTTTTATTCTTCTAATGCTTCTCCTGTTATTTTTCTGAACCTTCAATATGTTGTTGACCCTGACTTAAATTAATAAATCAGATTATGTTGAAGAAGGCAGAGATTTACTGGACAGGGACTCAAGGAAACTTTTTATTGTTGATTAAAATGCTCTATTTTTTAATTGGGGTTGTAGTTACATGAGTTTAAGCCATTTAACTGTACTTTTAAGATCTGTACAAGTTACTTTATATAAATCTCATTTTTAAAAAAGTATTGGGGGAAAAAGACACGTTAGCGAGTTCATAATATTTTCATAAGATTCCTGGGTTTTTTCTGTATTTGAGCTGAATATGCTCTCAGCTTAAAAATTAAAGGGAATTTATTCTTTCATAAAATATGTAAGCCTTGTTACTGCTTCATTTTTATGCTATAACAACAAATATTGGCAAGGAAAAAATATAGGTTTCAAGTGTCTTCAAATGGCAACAACCTGTCTCTGTCAATGAAATGACAACAGAATGGAAGAAAACCAAATCTTCACTTAGGAAAGATTGTTTTTAGCCTAAAAGCTCAGCCTACCATTGTCTGTTAATATTAACCAAAAGAAAAAAAAATGATCAATTCAGGTACATCTCATTTTATACAGAGTGAGTAGTTACTCAAATATATATATATATATATATAGAAACAGAGTCTCACTGTCACCTAGGCTGGAGTGCAATGATGTGATTTTGGCTCACTGCAACCTCCACCTTCTGGGTTCCAGTGATTCTCTTGCCTCAGCCTCCTGAGTAGCTGGGACTACAGGCGTGCGCCACCACACCTAGCTAACTTTTTGTATTTTTAGTAAAGACAGGGTTTCACCATGTTGGCCAGGCTGGTCTTGACCTCCTGACCTCAAGTGATCCGCCTGTATCAGCCTTCCAAAGTGCTGGAATTAGAGGCGTGAGCCACTGAGGCCAACCGTTATTCAAATAATTTTTAATGACTAAACAAACTCACTATTTCAAATAATTTTATGATGATACTTATTTTTGGCAAAGTGAGGGATCTGTAGTGATAGGGGCAGTCTAGTATTCTTTATATATCACTTTTTATTTTATTATTATTATTTGCAGAAACAGGATCTTGCTATACTGCCCGGGCTGGTCTCAAACTCCTGGCCTCGAATAATCCTCCTGTCAGTGTCCCAAAGTGCTGGGATTACAGGTGTGAGCCACCATCCCCAGACTGTGTATCACTTTTTAGATGCACATTTTAAAAAATATTGTAACATCTCTGAAATCAAGATGCTCCATACCATCAATGGCATCTTACCTTGGCATTAGCCAGGCAGCAAACAAGATGACTTGCATATGCATTATTTCATCGTTTTCCTTGATGATTTGATTTCTGAGATCATGAAGGCCCCAGCATGAAATCTTATAGAGTGGCAGAATGACTTAACATCTTGGAAGGAAGTCTTGGAGGTATTAGTAGAGTTTTTTAGGGGGGTTGTTTATTTGTTTGTTTGTTTCTTAAAAATAGCAGTTTCACCTACGCTGTCAAAGAAACAAAGGATGATACATATGGAATAATACAGACATCAATGGCTCTGAGCTGAAACATGGTTCACAGACATGGAATGTTAACAAGTTTTGATAATACTTTAGCTAAGTATTTGATATCTTCCTTTCTATGTATGAATAATAGTGCTATTTGATCAAATACATCTAAATAAATCATAAAGAGCTTTTTCAAGAAGTATAAAATAAAAATTTCAAATTCTAAATAAGCCAGAGTATAATTGGCAGCTATTTTCTTTTGTAGTGCTACATAAAATAGTGGTCCATCTCACAATTGATGGCATCTTAGATTATATGAAAACTTATATTTGTCAGTTGGCTTTGTGTCTGTTGGCTTTTCAGCCAGGGTTATGGTGAAAGGGTGGGGAGGAAAAACTTGTAATTAAATAATCTCTTAAACGTATAACAATAACACTTATTGAGTAGCTCCTATAGGTCAAGTTATGCTAAGTGCATTATGTACATTACTGCATGTTATTCTCCCCAAAAATTCTGAAAGGCAGTTATTATTGAACCTTTATTCCATCAGAGGCATTCAATAATATGTTCAAGGTAAAGTTGCAAAGCAGAATTGGAACCTAGTTTTGAGTGACCCCCTAAAGCTCTTAATTTCTGTACAGTAACTTCCCTTACCCCACCCGCAACATTCCTAGTAGTTCAGTGAAAGCTTAAAGAAGGTGCTAAGAGCTGGAAAGAGATAGAGAGAATGAGAACCCCAGCAACGCTCAGTCGCTGTTCAGGTTGTTCTTAAAGTCAGCTTTATCCCTGATTTGGTGGTGCAGCTCTTTCTCCAATTATGTGAGGCACGTTAGAATCCTAATATCAAAGTATCCTCTTTTTTTGCCTTAGCTAGTTCTATCTGGGATTTTATACCTTGCAACCAAAAGCATATCATTGTAATAACTCACAGCTTTAATACATCTATATATTTTACTAGTAATATTTCACACACCTCTAACAGCCAGGTTTGAGCCCTGCTGTCTCAATGCTTTAAAAGTGCAATAAATGAAGCTGCCTGTTTCCGTTACAAGTCTGTGGCTTTGGAAGCATCTGATTCTCCGTAGGATTAAACTTGCCCTAATCAACACTGGGAAAGAAGCAGTAAAATAAACACAAAGAACTTGGACCATGAGTCAGCTCAGTTTTCCTGAGCAGCTCTGTTTTAGTGCAAGTTGCTTAACTTTGATGGAACTCAGTTTCCTCCATTGTAAAAGATGTAAAAGATGCAAATTGCACAATGATTTTTGAGAACCTTTCTAGTTTTTTTAAATTCTTTCCTCTTGCACAGACTAAAGTCATCCTGACATTGCATGGGTTACATGTGAGTATATCCAGTGGATTTCATGGCCCATTTTACTCCCAGCTTCTTTGGTCATATGTATTTTCTCCTTAATAGAATTCAAATTCAGTATCATCTAGTGATATGTTTAACAAAATTAAATGAAGACAGTGCCATTTTGCTCAGTGGTGAGAATGTCTAAGAAATACAAAACACCTATGGATGAAATAAAAGAATAAACTAATGTTACAAATCTTATCTCCAGGGACTACTTCATGATAGTTTTTCTTCTACAAGACTTGTGACTGGGGAGAGGAAATATCACTAAGTTCTGAAATGGTGCAGAGAGTTTCCGTTCTTACCCCGGAATAACAACATATTTCCCTGCAGTTGAAGTCAGGTCTTCAAAGCTAGACAATGAGAAGGAAACTGAAATGTTCTTGTTTTTCCTTATGGACTATGGATTTGATTTTGTTTTGTTTTGTTTTGTTTTGTTTTGTTTTGTTTTTTGAAATGTAGTCTTTCTCTGCTGCCCAGGCTGGAGTACAGTGGCACAATCTCAGCTCACTGCAGTCTTCCCCTTCCAAGTTCAAGCAATCTCATCTCTCAGCCACCTGAGTAGCTGGGATTACAGGCATACACCACCATGCCCACTAATTTTTGTGTTTTTGTAGAGACAGGGTTTTGCCATGTTGACCAGGCTGGTCTCGAACTTCTGACCTCAAGTGATCCGCCTGTCTCTCAAAGTGCTGGGATTACATCAGGCGTGAGCCATAGCACCCAGCTTGATTTTAACTTTTATTACCAAAATCGGATGTGTGATTGCTTTTGTCACTAAAATAATGACCTTTTTAAAGCCCACATTCATAAGTAATTTGAAATTATAAAAAATGTTTGTGTACTCAATCTTAGCCAATTGATACAATTTCAGAAATCAAAAACTAAACTCCTTAGCCAAAATGTTGACTTGGAAAACAAAGCATAGGATGCAATTTATTGGAAATTATTATATTATTGTTTCTCTCAAAAGCACAAATCATTTTTTCCAACAAAAGTAGAATTGATTCAATAAAGTACCTTAAAGTTATAATTTATTTGAGGAAATATGACTTAATATATTTTTATATTTAATGGTGTCATGTAATTTACTGAAAGAACCATTTCCAAAGTCAGTAACAAATAGGGCTTGGAGTTTTTTATAGCTTTGTATTGATGTCTAGCCTACTTATACTCAAGCAGTTATTCAGGGGTATGATTTCCGTCATGTGTTCATTAGTTTGGGTAACATTTTAAGAAAGGGAAAGCAAGGAAAAATACAAAACTACATTTACTGAATGCTAATATGTCCACTGTTTTAACTGTTTGCACCAGCAGATGGGCATCTACAGAATGAATACAGGAATGTCTGTCTGTCTGTCTGTGCATACTCTGTGAAGGGATACACCAGCATTACATGCTGACTCAGGATAGCCAGTATGCCTTCTGCAAGAGGAAAGCTTGCATTTCAAAATCCACCAAGGTAAATCCTTGGCTGCCCACACTCATATCCTCAGACATCAGGGAGTGTTCGTCATCCACATGTAGCGAGTCCCAGCTACGGTGCTAGTTCCAACAGTACGTAAATGGCTGTGACTGCCGGGAGAAAGCTGATTCAGCATGGCTCCCCAGTCGCTAGCAGTGGTGATATTCACCATATTGAACAGTGCATGCAGCTTGGGGCCTGACCAATCTAACAAAAAGAGGTATAAACATCTCTGTCGGCTGCTGGAGTGCACCCTGGCTGAGTGTCAGCCCCAGCAATTGCATGTCAGCTTGAGCAACCAGTGCAACTTTAGAGTTTACAAATACACTTAAAAGCATATTATCTCATTTAGTCCCCCAGAATTCTATTATGTAGGTATTATTACTTTTCTCAATTTGTGGGTGAGAAAATTGAGGCTTACAGAGCTCAAGTAATTTGCCCTAGGGTCACACAACTAGTAAGTGGTAGAACGTACATGGACCATGGCTGACCAGCACAAACAATTTGTTTTCTTCTGCAGTTTCTCTTCCATTCACAATGCTAATTATAAAGAAAAGAAATTCTCTAATTTTTTACACTATACTACCTATTCAGAAGTCAGAAAATGAAAAGTCACAATTAGGCCAGGTGCAATGGCTCATGCCTATAATCCAGCATTTTGGGGGGGCCGATGCAGGAGGATCACTTGAGCCAAGAAGTTCAAGACCAGCCTGAGCAACATAGCAAGACCCTGTCTCTAAAAAAAAAAAAATATTAAAAATACACATACACCTGTGGTCCCAGCTATTCAAGAGGCTGACTTGGGAGAATCACTTGAGCCCCAAAGGTTGAGACTATAGTGAACTGTACTCACACCACTGCTCTCCAGCTTAGCTGGCAGAGCAAGACCCTGTCTCAAAAATAAAAAATAAAATAAAATGTTGATCCAGTACTACAGCTCTGTGTTATTCAAATCACTCAGTTACGAGGAGTTTCCACTATATGACTTTTTACTTGGCCTGTGGAAATGTTAATGACTGTGCAAAGAAATATGTGAATAAGGCACTTTCAATATTATTTTCGTGAGGTTCTTCCTCACTGCTCTCAACTTCTGCTGCTGTCAGCATGTTAATCTGTATTGAAAAAAAAAATGAACCAAATAGCTAGCTTCCTGGATAAAATTTATCCTATGAGTTTAATCTTAGTAAGCAAGGCATGAAGTCATTCAGTCTTTTTAAGGATTAAAAATCCATTTATCCTGGGGAGACAACATAAAACTCTGATGCATAAAAATTCCAAATAATTTATGTAGAACCTCACCCTCAAGGAGGTCGAATACAATGTCCACTCCTTAAGGACAGGCTTTAAATGGTGACTTCCATCCATGAGGACAGTATGAAAGAAGGGGGAAGGGAGAGTAACTTCACAGTGGAGAAACCTGACAAAGAGTACGTTGACCATGTGATCAAGGTCAACATCAACAGTGGTAAGTCACGCTGGCAGTATGTACCCTTGATGTGAGGGGATTAAAGTGGTACTTCCATGGTCTTCCTTGCCCAAATCCATAACCCCAGTTTAATTGTGAGAAAAGCGTCAAATTCCAATTCAGATACATTCTACCTGACCAGCTCTCCTCCAAGCTATCAAGATTATCAAAAGCAAGAATAATCAGAGAAATTGTCACAGTAAAGAGGAGACCATGAAAAGATAAACTTAGGCACATGATAATTTCGGAGTTTATTTGAGCAGTCAGCAATTCATGAACCAGGCAGCACCATACCACGTGTGGCTGGGCTCCATAGAGGGGATGTGAGGGGAATGCGTTTATGAAGTGTTCACAGAAGCAACACAAAGAAAACGTTTGACCGGTTAAAGTGAGACAGTAGCCTTCAAGTCTGTACTTGGCAGTTTCTGATGAGTAAAATTACTCTGAGTTGGGTTTCAAGGTTTGCTTATACAGAAACCCAGAACATAGATCCCTCTCAGCCTAATGGCTTCCCAGTGACTTTTTTTTTTTAACATAACTAAATGTTACGTATTCTGGATGGGATCCTGTAATAAGGAAAGGATATTAGGTAAAAACTAAGAAAATCTGAATTCAGTGTACATTTTAGTTAATAATAATGTATGAATATTGATTCATTAATTATAACAAAGGTATCATATTAATGTTAAAATGTTAATAGAATGGAAAATTGGGTGCAAGGTGTATTAGAATTCTTTGTACTGACTCTGCAACTTTTCTGTAGATCTAAAATTGTTTTGAGACAGAAAATTTATTTTTAAAATGATTCACTTAGCATTTTGGCATTTCAATAGTTGATCATGATATACTTGTCCCTTGGTTAACCCAAAATTCCTAAAGAGATAACTAATAAAAGTGAGGCTGGAATTCCTCAGAGCCACACTTTCTTCTGAGGAAGCCTACCTGTGACACTCCCCCCAAACCCCCCACACAGAGTATCCCCTCACAGTATCCTTTCACAGCCAACGTTCCCACAAGACAAGTACAGCTGTTCCTCCCTATCCCTGGAGGACACTGGTTCCAGGACCTTCCTGTGATACCAAACTCCAAGGGTGCTCAAATCCCTGATATAAAATGGCATGGTATTTGTATATAACCTGTGCATATCCTCCCGTATACTTTAAATCACCTCTAGGTGACTTATAATGGCTAATACAATGTAAATGCTATGTAAATAGTTGTTATACTGCATTGGTTAGGGAGTAATGAAAGAAAAAATGCTGTACATGTTCAATATAGGCACAATTTTAAAAATATTTTCCATCTGAGGTTGGTTGAATGCATGGATGCATAGTGCATGGATACTGAGGACCAGCTGCAGTCTCTACTTCACCTCTCACTCACTTTTCAATCCACTGCAGTCATGTGTCCACCCAACAAGCACGCAAAGCCCACATCCTCAGTCTTCATCTTACTTAACCTGAGGAAGATTGAAAGTACTGATCACTCACTACGTTAAAACTTCCAGTTTCCTTACCAGTCTCCTTAGTTCTCCTGTTATCACTCCTTCTCATTGCCTAACATAGCAAGATACTCACCTTTCACCGTTTTTTATTTTTGCCTATTAAAAGGTAATCGAAATTGAGCTTCTTGTTCAGAAGTGTTACATTAATAAACCTCTAAGTTATACAAATGGGTGAGTGTCAGCATACGAGGATGTTCCCCATGGAATGCCTTCTTCCTTTCTGCCAGAGTAATAGATCCAACTTGATCAATCACAAGTATGTTCCTGGTGGCCTTTGGCTAGAGAGTGTTGGCAATTTTTGTCCTATATATAAGTAAAATACTAAACACATTTATTTTATTGCTTATGTGATTAAGTGACTTTAAGTAAGGTAAAGAATGAGAGGAAGTTACCTGATATTTGATCTGTACATTGGCACACAGCCGGTACTTACCAAGTAATTAAACATTGCTTTATGTTGCCTATTATCCCGTTGAATCGTTTCAGCATGTTTTTTGATATTACTTATGTTATTACATATTAAACATTTACACTAAACTAGGGATTTCTCCAGGCAGAAGGAAGATTTTGCCTTGTTTTAAGAGAGTGCAAATAGGAGTCTGATTAGATGTAGCTCAGGGGCTGCTCTCACATACATTTTGGAAGCCTGAGCTTAGGGATGGCATTTGCAGTGTGTATTGCAGGATGGATACAGCACTTCAGACAGTGAGAAGATACAGATACTGAGCTAATCTGTGGAAGCAAGAGCCCATGGTTCCTTTCAGAGGGGTTTGCCCCGGTTACATCAACTCTTCCTTTATCATCTTCTACCTCAGTAAGTCTACAAATAGATATAGACAGCATCTTTGTGCAGGTGGGTTTTCTGTGGAAATTAGAGAAGGATCAAGTTTCACCTCTGGGTTCTTTCAACAAACTGGGAAAGTTTGGATTTTTGTAAGCTATTGAACTGGAGTTGTGTTTCAAGCCAATTCTGTCTAGATCTTAAAAGAAGGGAGAAATTCTAGGTTGGCATCTGTGTTGTACATGTCATCTGAAAATCAATGGAAACTTTTTGAACTCAGGTGGAGAATGGAAGTGGCTGCAACTTGACTATGAACTCTTTGAGGAGGAACTCTTCTGGTATGGTTTGGCTCTGTGTCCCCACCCAAATCTCATGTTGAATTGTAATCCCCATGTGTCAGGGGAGGTACCTGGTAGGAAGTCATTGGATCATGGAGGCAGATTTCCCCCATGCTGTTCTCATGATAGTGAGTTCTCACAGATCTGATGGTTTAAAAGTGTGTGGTGGTTCCCTGCTTGCTCTCTCTCATACTACACCATGGTAAGATGTGCCAGCTTCCCCTTTGCCTTCTGCCATGATTGTAAGTCTCCTGTGGCCTCCTAGCCATGCTTCCTGTACAGCCTGTGGAACTGTGAGTCAATTAAACCTCCTTTCTTCATAAATTACCTGGTCTCAGGTAGTTCTTTGTAGCAGTGTGAGAACGGACTAATACATCTTCCCAATCCTTGCTATTTAAATTCTAGTCCAAGGTGCAACAGGCTTGGCATCACCTGGCAGTGCATTAGAAACACAGATTTCCAGGACCAACCACAGACCTACTGAATGAGAAGCTACATTGAGTAAAATCCTCAATGCACATTGAGAAGCACTGCAAGTCCCTCATGCACCTTAGTCACTGAGGGAGAGAAAGGACAAGAGAGAAAGAAGGAGGCAATCTTATTTAAAAACTCTTACATTAGGGTTGTAAATAAATATTTTAAGTATTATTATTTTAGTAAATAAGTACTGATTTTAATGAGTAGTTTAAGACTTCATAAACAAGAAAATATTTTGAAAATTTTAAAAATTTTATGTAGTACATATGTTCCTTTTCTGTTCATTTCATTTGTTCTTTAATATATCATTGTCCCAATATTTCCCCCAACCAATTGTATAACCTAAGTACGAGTATAGATAAAGTAGCATATAAAATTATTCTTTTATTGCTTAAGTTGACATAAAGATCCTGTGAGCTTTGACCTAAAGATAAGAACATTCATATTTTCTCTTAACTAGCTATTCAGATAGCACTGCACTGTTAATAAATTATTTTTTTAAATTTACATTTCAGGGTGTTTCTGTTGTTTGTTATCATTGTTATTTTTAATATTCTCCACCAGAGCTGAGCACTAGCTTTAATTCATTCTGTTTGGTAGAAAATAATTTTTCAAAAATCAAACTGTGTTAAGTCCATACCCAAATTTATAATTTGAGCTCCCTTAAAGTTCTAAAAAAAAAAAAAATTATAAGAATCCTCCAAAACTTTTTTCAGCCTTAGGTAAGCTTAAAGAAAAACTAGAGGTCAGAATTATATGTGATAATGAACCTTGTGAGGAAATAATCTGGTTGATGTAAGTACTTTGGGAATTCTAAGTACTGGGTTGGCCCTTATCCTTCTTAGCAAAGATAAGTGAATGTTTGAAGTGCTCACATGCCTGTGACCTCAAAAACACAATAAACAAAGGGCACAAACCTGGAAGGGTAAAGAACTTACTGAAATTTAATTAAAATTCTCCTTAATGTTTGCTGAAGAGCAAGAATTTCTCCAAGATATTCAACTATTATCTACACATTTTTACTTTCAGGAAATCAAAAATTATGTGAGGACTTCACATCTTATAAAACATATTTGTCATGGAAAATTCTATTTTTGATTGAAACTGTTGAATATTTTTATTTAAATACATATCATGTAAATCACTGAATCTGGACGTTCATCGGCCTCGTACAAATTATCCTGCCACAGTATTTGGTGTGAAGGGTCTCATTAGTTAGACTTTGGGCTTAGAATTCTATTTGTAGCCTGCATAAAATAAAGAGTGCCCCTGGTAGAGACAATTCCAAACACACCAGAAAGCCTTGTTCTTCCTTCCACAGAATCATTACTAGGCAATTGTTATTTATCCTTAACTTATGAAGACTTCCTTTCCAACCTAGATTACTTACCCACAATTAAATAGTATTTTTAAACACTAGCTTGAAAATTAATGTGTCTTGGAGGCAGAGAGGTTAATAAGTAGACACATAAAGCAAGTGTTTCAAATGTATTTTAGGATAAAACTTTATATCCAGTATTCTAAAGCCATGGAGAATTGTTGGCTCTTTTTTTGGGCAATGGATCCAGAAGGACCCAGCAGGGGATTTTGCTCATTGCTTTCCTTCTACAAGTTTATATTCTTTAAGTGAAGCTATTGTGAGTACCACCATTCAGATCAAACACATTCATACAATTTTAAGTAACATTTTTATTACTATATAACATGCAGAAGTTTGTACGATTAATATGAATTTCCACAAAGTAAACTCACCCATATATCCAGCACAGATCAAGAAATACGACATTGCCAGCATCCCAAAGGTCTCTATTCCGCCCTCTCCCAGTCCTTACTGAACCCCCACCCCTGTCCAAGGTAACTTTTAACATCACAGATTAGTTTTGCTTATTTTTGAACTTTATGTAAATGCAGTCATATGGCATTAACTCTTTTGTATCCAGCTTCTTTCCAGCAACAATGACATGAGTTCAAGCAATTCATCAACATTACTGCATGCAACTGTAGTTCATACATTCTCACTGCATGTAATATTGCAGAAATATATAACGATTTCTTTTCCTACTCTATTATTGATGATACTTGGGCTGTTTCCAGTTTAAGGCTATCATGAATCATGCTGCTACATATATAGTTTCAAAACAAAAGTAATCTAATCAGTTTCAATAAGAAAAAGTTTGGTAGATACTTTTTTCATCATTAATTTCAACTAAAAAAAAAGAAGCTACTGGATTAGACAGAGCAGAGATGAACCTTTAAATCTAATAGTCTATACTGCTACAATATCTAAATACCACATCTTTCTTTTCATAAAAAGTAGTCTCTACAGAGCCAGCTCATTAGTTTCCTATTTCTGCTGTAACAAATTACTACAAATTTAGTGGCTTCAAACAATACAAATTTGTTCACTCATCCTACTGGACGTCTGTGGTCCAGAATGGTCTTGTGGACCAAAATCAAAGCATTGGTCGGGCTGCATTCCTTCTAGAAGCTCTCAGAGAGAACCTGTATCTTGCCTTTCCCAGCCTGTAGAGGCTGCCCACATTTCTTGTCTCCTGGCCTCCAGCCAACAATCCCATCACACTGCCAGCTGCATCTCCAGCCACATCTCCTCTGACTCTTCTGCCTCCCTCCTTTCTTTTTAAGGACTCCTGCGATTACACTGGGCAAGCATTATGAAGATCCTTAATCACATCTTCAAGGTCTTTTTTGCCATGTAAAGTAACATATCCACAGATTCTAGAGATTAGGACATGGACATCTTTGGGGGTCATTATTCAGCCCACCACTCTAACTCTCTGAAATTACATTCTGCTCCCATTCCCCAGTACACTCTGGCCTTGACACCTCACCAAAGTAACACGGTAACTCAATGTCCTTTTGTTCTATGATCTCAACTCCCAGACATTTACAACATAAGCTCTTTGAGGAGAGGAACTGGCCAGGCTCTGTGCTGTTTCCCCACCACCAGCACAATCGCTGATACTCAGTGTTTACCCAGTAAATGTTGGTTGGTTGACTGGAGAGACAGCATTCCTCACATCCTCATATCTTCTCCCTGGTAGATGAGAAGCAGCAGCATGTGACATTCAGTGACTTGGGACAGCTGCCTGCAAGTACAGTTTTTTCCATATTCTGGTTATAACCAAACCACTTGAGAACTCTCTGTGCCTCAGTTTCCTCATCCAAAAAAATGAGATGGCTGGCAAAGGTAATATCTAGAGTATCTTGCCAGCATTAATATCCATTTTAAGTGGAAACAATGCTTATGATACATTGTAAAGTGAAAAGGGCAGAATGCAAAATTCTGTAAATTGTATGATTTAAACTGACTATAAAGTTATACACCAAACAGACCTAAGATGTTAACCAAAGGAGAAACTGAGGGTATATAGGGTATTCTGGCACTCTGCACTAGGTTCCCAATTTTTCTGCAACTTTAAAACAGCTGTAAAATAAAAAGGTTATTTTTTAAAAGTTGCTTGGCAACAAGCCTAGATTATAAACTCTTTGAGGGCAGGCCTCATGTTCTCTCTCATATTTGTTTACATAGAACCTACAATAATACTTCACACAAAGTATCCAATAAGCATTGACATATTAAAAAAAAAAAAAACTATTTCTGTGGATTTCAGATTAGTACAGACCCAGTCTTTAGCACTCTTCTTGGAAATGTGAAATAAGCTTTGCTGTATGTTAAGGTAAAGGCCCACTGGGCTTGATGAAATCACTGGTCATCAAGGAATGAGATCATGGTTGTAAAAAGATGCCTCAGAAGAGGAGTGAAAGGGACCAGAAAGGAGACATGTAGTTTGGACAGGCATATTTCATCATTTTTTATATATTTGAAAAATGAAAATAAAATGTATTCATGATTCTCAGTGGGGTAAGGATGGATGTCGAAGGCATGTATACGGAGTTCATATGTATAAGTCTGGATGCATATCCAAAACTGGTTGGAAATTATGGCGTTATCATTTGCACGGATTTTTAAAGTTTGAAAAACATTTGATTAAATTATTGAGTTCTCTAGTAAAACCAATTACTTACAAGATTAAGCTACCTATTAAGCAGCGATGATTATGAATTTCACTGTCTCTAGATCCACTGATCATCTCTAAACTGTTTGCTATGGTCTGAATGTCACCGTTCCTGACAAAATTCACACGTTGAAATCCTACCCCCCAAGGTTGGTAGGATGGGATTAGGAGATGGGAACTTTGCAAAGTGATGAGGAAGGTGACCTTGTGAATAAGATTACTGCTCTTATAAAATAGGCCCACAAAGGCTCATTCACCCCTTCGGCCATGTGAGGATGCAGTAAGACATCTTCTGTAAACCAGGATGTGAAACCTGGAAGCAGGTCTTCACCAGTCAGTGAATGTGCCAGCCCCTTAATCTTGGACTTCCCAACCTCCAGAACTGTGATAAATTTCTATGGTTTATAAGCTACTCAGTCTAAGGTATTTTGTTATGGAAGTCCAAACAGACCAAGACAGTGTTTATATAATCTCAGTCCTAATAAATTAACTCTATAAATGCTTAGGTAATGATTAAAGAATTATGCATAGAGAAAGTTACATTAAAGAACTCGAACAACTAAGCATCATCATATTTGTGTGGCAAGACCATGGATCACATTTCTTTCTCTTTTATTTCAGTAAGCAAGTTATATCTTTATGATGAAAATAAAATTAATATTTAAGATCTATTTAAGAGTCTATACATAAAGATTTTTTATATATAAAATTGTAGTTTGAGCAATTAATATAAATCTGTATGCATAATAACATTTATAAGATTTTTAAACAGTGTTTAGAGGCCATTTCTTGATTTCTCCTCCACCCCTCCCTTCAAACCTGCTTCTTAGTCTTTCCCATGTTACGACCACCATTATCCCATTTGCTCAAGCCAAAATCATTAAAAAATCATCATTTATTGAGCCTTTTCCCTCACTTCCCTGTAAGCAGTCTATCAACAACTACTGTCGACTCTACCTGTAAAATGTGTCCTGAATCCATCTAACTCTCTTCATCTCTACAGTCACCACTTCTGTTTGAACCAATGTTTTACAAACTGTAAACTGCCACCCATTGCTGAGTCACAAAATCCGTTTTGTGGGTGACAACCAGCATTTCTTCTTTTACAGTGAAAAAGAACAGAAAAATTCAGAGGGCATCATTCATGGTAAGGGTATTGTCTCATTAAATTTTTGCTACGTATAATGTGTTCATGTGTGGAGTCACCACACAAAACATGTTTCCTCCTGTGGATTGTGGAACAAAATGTTTGAATCCCTAAATTGAGGTCCACATCATTTCTCACCAGGACTGCTTAAAACCTGGAATGCTTATTCTTGGCACAATAAGAAGCCAAACACTTTACTAATGGCCTAAGGACCCAGCGTAGTCTTATGCCTCCTTCCTCTCCACCCACGTCTTCATCTCTCATCCTCCTCACGCATGCTCCAGTCACACAGCCTGCGTTTCATTGAACGCACCAGTCTCCCCACCTCCAGGACTCTGTACTTGCTATTTCCTCTGCATAGACTGTTCTTCACAATACTTGCCGATGCTCCTGCCCAGTCTTAGCACAAGTGTCATCTCCACAAAATGACCTGTTTAAATGCCCCAATTTCCACTTTCTTCTATTTATTTCATGTTACCTATTATTATCTGGAATTGTGTTATGTTTATTTCCTTTTTCAGATTTCTTTACTGCCCATCTCTTTTTGCTAGAATATTTAAGTTCAAAGAGAGCAAAGTCTTCCTTGTCTGCCTCCTTCACTGATAAATATTCAGAGACTAAAATAAAGCCTGGTACATAGTACATACTGAATACATATTTATTTTTCACTTTTTATTACTGAGTAAATATTTTTGATTGACTTCCTCTCTGGTGACTCACTAAATGTGAAACACTATGCCATACCTAAGGATCGAAGATGAAAGACACTCTGCAGAATCATTTGATTTGCTTTTCCTTGTTCCTGTATTCGGGCTGCTATCACAAACTATCATCAAATGGGTGCTCATAAATAATATAAACAAGCAACAGAAATGTCTCACAGTTCTGGACGTTGAGAAGTCCAACATCAAGCCTCCGGCCAATTTGTTGTCTGAGGACTCACTTCCTCGTTCACAGACAGCTGTCTTCTCACTATAATCTCACGGGGGTGAGGGATCCCTCTAAGCATCTTTTATAAGGGCACTAATCCCATTCATGAGCGCTCATCCTCATGACCTAATCACTTCCCCAAAGCCCTGCCTCCTAATATCATTATCATGAGGGTTAGAATTTAATATATGAATTTGGGGGAGATATAAGCATTCAGTTAATTGCAACCTCTATTCCCTGCCAGACGCTAAGCTCCCTGTGGGCAAAAACCCTGGCAGTTCACCATTTATACCCTTTCCCTTGCATGGTGCCTGATACGTAGGAGGTTAATTTTTTTAAGTGAATGAGATCTTGAATTTGCGGTAGCCCCAAAACACAAGAGTTGAACAATGTTCCAGCAGGTCTCTGTATCCTGGTTTAAGCATAGAAAATGTAAACATTTGCTTTGATCTAGGGTAAGGATATTTAGGAGTTGAGCTAATGGCTAGAAAGTCACGAAAGGGGTAGACGATGGAATGTAGACTTCTAGCTTCACTTTTTAAATAAACAGCTTAGATTCCTTTTCAAAAATAATGGCTCAAAATTCGCATTTAGAGTAGTGATTTTTAAAGAAAAAAATTACAGTATTGTTACATCTATTTTTTCACTCCATTCTTTAGAACATAAATCCTAATTAGTATTTAGTTTTGCTTATTACAAAGCTAAGGAAGCCTCTACATTTTTCCCTAGAACATGCAGACATCTCACGTTCCTTCATGCTATGGTGCCTTAGAACAGGGGTCCCCAAACACCAGGCCAATTCGCGGCCTGTTAGGAACTGAACTGCACAGCAGGAGATGAGCAGTGGGCCAAAGTGCATTACCACTTGAGCTGTGCCTCCTGTCAGATCAGCAGGGCATTAGATTCTCATAGGAGTGCGAACCCTACTGTGAACGGCACATACGAGGGATCTAGGTTGCGTACTCTTTGTGAGAGTCTAACTAATGCCTGGTGATCTGCAGTGGAACAGTTTCATCCTGAAACCATCCTCTCTATCCTGTCCCATGGAAAAATTGTCTCCCATGAAACTGGTCCCTGGTGCCAAAAAAGGTTGGGAACTGCTGCGTAAGAGAGTCAATTGTAAAAATCAGGAATGGATCTACTATCGATAATTATCGCCAATCAGATAAAGACCAATAATGTTACAGGAAACAAGTATACCAGCCAAGTCACAGACAATAAACATTGTCATCATAACGTGCCCATCTGATTTCATCCTGGCCTTGACTCTCCATAAAGCCCGCCAAATAATCCCAGCAGTCTACACATAGGGTCACAAAGAACACCGCAATCTTATAAAAAGTCCTAATCTCGTGGAAAATCCTAATACTGAGTCAATCCAGGTAATTGACCCATTAGTGATGGACTGGCTTCTCAAGATAATTAGAGGATTCAGATTGGTTTTGGTGAGAGGAGGCTAAATAACATCATTTACATTTCTGTTAATCATCTATTTTCTGATGATTATATTTAATTGTGGGAAACAAAGAAAATGAGTTCTATATTTGGATACCATGAGGAAGTTTACATCTTTTAAAGGTTAACACTAGGGAGAATATTAAAAAATTCAACTTGGCTTCAAGTACTGTGGGAAAGTACATCATTAAAACTTTATCTCTTTCCCCTAAGAATGTTAAAGCACAGAGCAAATATTACAGCCTTTTTGGCTAGGTTCATTGATTGCCACTGATACTGTCTCCTCTTGCAAGAGAGACAGATGGAGTCATAAACAAGTGGCCTCATTCAAGGGCATACGGTCACAATCAAAATTGGAATTTACACCACCTCCAAAAATGTACACACTTGAAATTAGTATTCTGGAATTGGCTGATAGGAATTTGCGCATAGCCTACCATACCCTGGGCTACATGCCCTACCCTTGATTCTAATTACCATAACTTTTTCTTTTCTTTTCTTTTTTTTTTTTTTTTTTTTTTGAGATGGAGTCTTGTCCTGTCGCCCAGGCTGGAGTGCAGTGGTGCGATCTTGCCTCACTGCAACCTCTGTCGCTCGTTAGTTCAAGTGATTCTCCCACCTCAGCCTCCTGAGTAGCTGGGCCTGCAGGTGTCCGCCACCCCACCTGGCTAATTTATTGTGTTTTAGTAGAGACGAGGTTTCACTGTGTTGCCCAGGCCAGTCGCGGACTCCTGAGCTTAGGCAATCCACACATCTTGGCCTCCCAAAATGCTAGAATTGTAGGCGTGGGCCAGCCCATAATTATTGAATGATAGAATTTGAAAGAAAAGTGGCCTTCAATTCAACCAGTTCAGCTCCTCACTTTCCAGATCAAAAAACAAAAGCCAGCCAGGTGAAAGCACTTGCCTAAAATGCCTACTAGGAGGTAATGAAACCAGAACTGGGATCCAGGTTTCTAGAGTCTCAGATGAAAAGACTTTCTATGTTATTATTCAAAACATCAAAGTCTGTTCTAAAGCCTGTAGTGGGCTCTGCACCCACTACTTGCCCTGTTCAATGCAGGTGAGAGGAACTAATTTCTTTGACCTCTGGGCTGAGAGAAAACACAGCAGCTTGGCCACGGCCCTACTTATTTGGGACAGGAGGTTCTGAGATCCAGGTTGCCAATAAATAATGAATTTATTTATCTTGGTGGTTCCAGGAATTCATGTGACGATCTAACAGGTAAGTACTCAATAAATGTTAAAATAATTTAATGAGAGCTTTTTTCTCTCAATTCTATCTGAACATTTTTGTTTCATTTTTAGTGAAAAAATAAAAAGAACCAATTCCCTCACCATGTGGTCCTAAGAATGAATAGAATACAGACCATAAGGAAAGAGCCTCTAGGCCAAATCACCGCAAACACAAGTGCCTGCAGCTGGATGAACATGGAGTCGACAGTGACACCCATCTGGTGAACCGTGAGGTTGAATAGATAGGGTAGGGTTATAAATATCAAGAACCTTAGATCCGGCTTAAGGAATTCAGACTTGGGAGTGGAGTACTGGAAGGTTTCAGCAGGACTATGATAAAAATTTCAGATGCATTCTAAAATGGTGACTCCATTGGTAGCATATGTGATGGAGGGAAGACCAATTAAAGTTGAAGACCAATTAAAAGACTGCATGGGGCCAGGTGCAGTGGCTCACGCCTGTAATCCCAGCATTTTGAGAGGCTGAGGCCAGCAGATCACTTGAGGCCAGGAGTTCGAGACCAGACTAGCCGACATAGTGAAGCCCCCGTCTCTACTAAAAATAACAAAAATTAGCCAGGTGTGGTAGCGTGCACCTGTAGTCCCAGCTACTCAGTGGCTGAGGCAAGAGAATCTCTTAAACCCAGGAAGCTGAGTTTGCAGTGAGCTGAGATCATGCCACTGCACTCCAGCCTGGGAGACAGAGCGAGACCCTGCCTCAAAAAACAAAAACAACAAAAAAATCCAGCGTGGTTGTCCAAGAGGGAATGTTTCAAAGTGCCTCTCCCTTTCCATTTCTCCTCTTAATTCATAAACTGAAACTGGGAGCCTAACAGAGTCCCTGCAGCCTGCACCCCTGCTCCGGGATCACAGTTGCTTCTGCTCCACCCTTTAAGCTTCTGCCCTTTCTTGCAGTATCCAAAGACCACCTCACGGGATTTCCAGCTCTCTGGAATCCCCTCCCACATAGTGGGAGCTCTCTTTCCCTCCTGGATTTCCCCTCTGGGGTCCCGCTTCCATATACTCTCTCGTGGAAGCTTTCTCTCTTCTCCTGTTTCTCTCTCTATATGTAAATCACTTTCCTGCAAACAAACAAACAAACAAAAAACAAAGACCATCTCACACAGGGAGCCAATCCTGCTGCAAGGCTGAGGTCTCCCCACTCCACAGTAGCCTCTAGCTACTGGACTTCAGAGAAAGGCCTTATTCTTTGGGCCTCTTACTATCATCTCTAGACCTTTCTCTAGCTCCTTGACTTGACAGGGCTGAGCTGGGGAAACAGTGAATCATGGGATCAGCTCATTGGAACCTGAAAGGGTGGTGAGGAAACCATGGGTCAGCAACCAGTCAGGAACCCGGAATATCCAGATGCAAGGGGTCA